CCCTTCTCCCAGATTCCATCCCCTTCTCCCAGATTCCATCCCCTTCTCCCAGATTCCATCCCCCTCCCCAGATTCCATTTCCCATTCTCTTCCAGATTCCATCCCCTTCTCCCAGATTCCATCCCCTTCTCCCATTTCCATCCCCTTCTCCCAGATTCCATCCCCTTCTCCCAGATTCCATCCCCTTCTCCCAGATTCCATCCCCTTCTCCCAGATTCCATCCCCTTCTCCCAGATTCCATCCCCTTCTCCCAGATTCCATCCCCTTCTCCCAGATTCCATCCCCTTCTCCAGATTCCATCCCCTTCTCCCAGATTCCATCCCTTCTCTCCCAGATTCCATCCCCTTCTCCCAGATTCCATCCCCTTCTCCCAGTTCCATCCCCTTCTCCCAGATTCCATCCCCTTCTCCCAGATTCCATCCCCTTCTCCCAGATCCATCCCCTTCTCCCAGATTCCATCCCCTTCTCCCAGATTCCATCCCCTTCTCCCAGATTCCATCCCCTTCTCCCAGATTCCATCCCCTTCTCCCAGATTCCATCCCCTTCTCCCAGATTCCATCCCCTTCTCCCAGATTCCATCCCCTTCTCCCCAGATTCCATCCCCTTCTCCCATATTCCATCCCCTTCTCCCAGATTCCATCCCCTCTCCCAGATTCCATCCCCTTCTCCCAGATTCCATCCCCTTCTCCCAGATTCCATCCCCTTCTCCCAGATTCCATCCCCTTCTCCCAGATTCCATCCCCTTCTCCCAGATTCCATCCCCTTCTCCCAGATTCCATCCCCTTCTCCCAGATTCCATCCCCTTCTCCCAGATTCCATCCCCTTCTCCCAGATTCCATCCCCTTCTCCCAGATTCCATCCCCTTCTCCCAGATTCCATCCCCTTCTCCCAGATTCCATCCCCTTCTCCCAGATTCCATCCCCTTCTCCCAGATTCCATCCCCTTCTCCAATTCCATCCCCTTCTCCCAGATTCCATCCCCTTCTCCCAGATTCCATCCCCTTCTCCCAGATTCCATCCCCTTCTCCCAGATTCCATCCCCTTCTCCAGATTCCATCCCCTTCTCCCAGATTCCATCCCCTTCTCCCAGATTCCATCCCCTTCTCCCAGATTCCATCCCCTTCTCCCAGATTCCACCCCTTCTCCCAGATTCCATCCCCTTCTCCCAGATTCCATCCCCTTCTCCCAGATTCCATCCCCTTCTCCCAGATTCCATCCCCTTCTCCCAGATTCCATCCCCTTCTCCCAGATTCCATCCCCTTCTCCCAGATTCCATCCCCTTCTCCCAGATTCCATCCCCTTCTCCCAGATTCCATCCCTTCTCCCAGATTCCATCCCCTTCTCCCAGATTCCATCCCCTTCTCCCAGATTCCATCCCCTTCTCCCAGATTCCATCCCCTTCTCCCAGATTCCATCCCTTCTCCCAGATTCCATCCCCTTCTCCCAGATTCCATCCCCTTCTCCCAGATTCCATCCCCTTCTCCCAGATTCCATCCCCTTCTCCCAGATTCCATCCCCTTCTCCCAGATTCCATCCCCTTCTCCCAGATTCCATCCCCTTCTCCCAGATTCCATCCCCTTCTCCCAGATTCCATCCCCCTCCCCGATTCCATCCCCTTCTCCCAGATTCCATCCATCCCCTCTCCCAGATTCCATCCCCTTCTCCCAGATTCCATCCCCTTCTCCCAGATTCCATCCCCTTCTCCCAGATTCCATCCCCTTCTCCCAGATTCCATCCCCTTCTCCCAGATTCCACCCCTTCTCCCAGATTCCATCCCCTTCTCCCAGATTCCATCCCCTTCTCCCAGATTCCATCCCCTTCTCCCAGATTCCATCCCCTTCTCCCAGATTCCATCCCCTTCTCCCAGATTCCATCCCCTTCTCCCAGATTCCATCCCCTTCTCCCAGATCCATCCCCTTCTCCCAGATTCCATCCCCTTCTCCCAGATTCCATCCCTTCTCCCAGATTCCATCCCCTTCTCCCAGATTCCATCCCCTTCTCCAGATTCCATCCCCTTCTCCCAGATTCCATCCCCTTCTCCCAGATTCCATCCCCTTCTCCCAGATTCCATCCCCTTCTCCCAGATTCCATCCCCTTCTCCCAGATTCCATCCCCTTCTCCCAGATTCCATCCCCTTCTCCCAGATTCCATCCCCTTCTCCCATTCCATCCCCTTCTCCCAGATTCCATCCCCTTCTCCCAGATTCCATCCCCTTCTCCCAGATTCCATCCCTTCTCCCAGATTCCATCCCCTTCTCCCAGATTCCATCCCCTTCTCCCTATTCCATCCCCTTCTCCCAGATTCCATCCCCTTCTCCCAGATTCCATCCCCTTCTCCCAGATTCCATCCCCTTCTCCCAGATTCCATCCCCTTCTCCCAGATTCCATCCCCTTCTCCAGATTCCATCCCCTTCTCCCAGATTCCATCCCCTTCTCCCAGATTCCATCCCCTTCTCCCAGATTCCATCCCCTTCTTCCAGATTCCATCCCCTTCTCCCAGATTCCATCCCCTTCTCCCAGATTCCATCCCCTTCTCCCAGATTCCATCCCCTTCTCCCAGATTCCATCCCCTTCTCCCAGATTCCATCCCCTTCTCCCAGATTCCATCCCCTTCTCCCAGATTCCATCCCTTTCTCCCAGATTCCATCCCCTTCTCCCAGATTCCATCCCCTTCTCCCAGATTCCATCCCCTTCTCCAGATTCCATCCCTTCTCCCAGATTCCATCCCCTTCTCCCAGATTCCATCCCCTTCTCCCAGATTCCATCCCCTTCTCCCAGATTCCATCCCCTTCTCCCAGATTCCATCCCCTTCTCCCAGATTCCATCCCCTTCTCCCAGATTCCATCCCCTTCTCCAGATTCCATCCCCTTCTCCCAGATTCCATCCCCTTCCTCTCCCAGATTCCATCCCCTTCTCCCAGATTCCATCCCCTTCTCCCAGATTCCATCCCCTTCTCCCAGATTCCATCCCCTTCTCCCAGATTCCATCCCCTTCTCCCAGATTCCATCCCCTTCTCCCAGATTCCATCCCCTTCTCCCAGATTCCATCCCCTTCTCCCAGATTCCATCCCCTTCTCCCAGATTCCATCCCCTTCTCCCAGATTCCATCCCCTTCTCCCAGATTCCATCCCCTTCTCCCAGATTCCATCCCCTTCTCCCAGATTCCATCCCCTTCTCCCAGATTCCATCCCCTTCTCCAGATTCCATCCCCTTCTCCCAGATTCCATCCCCTTCTCCCCGATTCCATCCCCTTCTCCCTTCCATCCCCTTCTCCCAGATTCCATCCCCTTCTCCCAGATTCCATCCCCTTCTCCCAGATTCCATCCCCTTCTCCCATTTCCATCCCCTTCTCCCAGATTCCATCCCCTTCTCCCAGATTCCATCCCCTTCTCCCAGATTCCATCCCCTTCTCCCAGATTCCATCCCCCCTTCTCCCAGATTCCATCCCTTCTCCCAGATTCCATCCCCTTCTCCCAGATTCCATCCCCTTCTCCCAGATTCCATCCCCTTCTCCCAGATTCCATCCCCTTCTCCCAGATTCCATCCCCTTCTCCCAGATTCCATCCCCTTCTCCCAGATTCCATCCCCTTCTCCCAGATTCCATCCCCTTCTCCCAGATTCCATCCCCTTCTCCCAGATTCCATCCCCTTCTCCAGATTCCATCCCCTTCTCCCAGATTCCATCCCCTTCTCCCAGATTCCATCCCCTTCTCCCAGATTCCATCCCCTTCTCCCAGATTCCATCCCCTTCTCCGATTCCATCCCCTTCTCCCAGATTCCATCCCCTTCTCCCAGATTCCATCCCCTTCTCCCAGATTCCATCCCCTTCTCCAGATTCCATCCCCTTCTCCCAGATTCCATCCCCTTCCTCCCAGATTCCATCCCCTTCTCCAGATTCCATCCCCTTCTCCCGATTCCATCCCCTTCTCCCAGATTCCATCCCCTTCTCCCAGATTCCATCCCCTTCTCCCAGATTCCATCCCCTTCTCCCAGATTCCATCCCCTTCTCCCAGATTCCATCCCCTTCTCCCAGATTCCATCCCCTTCTCCCAGATTCCATCCCCTTCTCCCAGATTCCATCCCCTTCTCCCAGATTCCATCCCCTTCTCCCAGATTCCATCCCCTTCTCCCAGATTCCATCCCCTTCTCCAGATTCCATCCCCTCTCTCCCAGATTCCATCCCCTTCTCCCAGATTCCATCCCCTTCTCCCAGATTCCATCCCCTTCTCCCAGATTCCATCCCCTTCTCCCAGATTCCCCCCCTTCTCCCAGATTCCATCCCCTTCTCCCAGATTCCATCCCCTTCTCCCAGATTCCATCCCCTTCTCCAGATTCCATCCCCTTCTCCCAGATTCCATCCCCTTCTCCCAGATTCCATCCCTTCTCCCAGATTCCATCCCCTTCTCCCGATTCCATCCCCTTCTCCCAGATTCCATCCCCTTCTCCCCAGATTCCATCCCCTTCTCCCAGATTCCATCCCCTTCTCCCAGATTCCATCCCCTTCTCCCAGATTCCATCCCCTTCTCCCGATTCCATCCCCTTCTCCCAGATTCCATCCCCTTCTCCCAGATTCCATCCCCTTCTCCCAGATTCCATCCCCTTCTCCCAGATTCCATCCCCTTCTCCCAGATTCCATCCCCTTCTCCCAGATTCCATCCCCTTCTCCAGATTCCATCCCCTTCTCCCAGATTCCATCCCCTTCTCCCAGATTCCATCCCCTTCTCCCAGATTCCATCCCCTTCTCCCAGATTCCATCCCCTTCTCCCAGATTCCATCCCCTTCTCCCAGATTCCATCCCCTTCTCCCGATTCCATCCCCTTCTCCCAGATTCCATCCCCTTCTCCCAGATTCCATCCCCTTCTCCCAGATTCCATCCCCTTCTCCCAGATTCCATCCCCTTCTCCCAGATTCCATCCCCTTCTCCCAGATTCCATCCCTTTCTCCCAGATTCCATCCCCTTCTCCCATATCTCCACTCCTCCCTTTTATCCATCATTCTCTTCTCCTATTTCCCCCTCTCCCCCATTCCCATCCCCTTCTCCAGATTCCATCCCCTTCTCCCAGATTCCATCCCCTTCTCCCAGATTCCATCCCCTTCTCCCAGATTCCATCCCTTCTCCCAGATTCCATCCCCTTCTCCCAGATTCCATCCCCTTCTCCCAGATTCCATCCCCTTCTCCCAGATTCCATCCCCTTCTCCCAGATTCCATCCCCTTCTCCCAGATTCCATCCCCTTCTCCCAGATTCCATCCCCTTCTCCCAGATTCCATCCCCTTCTCCCAGATTCCATCCCCTTCTCCAGATTCCATCCCCTTCTCCCAGATTCCATCCCCTTCTCCCAGATTCCATCCCCTTCTCCCAGATTCCATCCCCTTCTCCAGATTCCATCCCCTTCTCCCAGATTCCATCCCCTTCTCCCAGATTCCATCCCCTTCTCCAGATTCCATCCCCTTCTCCCAGATTCCATCCCCTTCTCCCAGATTCCATCCCCTTCTCCCAGATTCCATCCCCTTCTCCCAGATTCCATCCCCTTCTCCCAGATTCCATCCCCTTCTCCCAGATTCCATCCCCTTCTCCCGATTCCATCCCCTTCTCCCAGATTCCATCCCCTTCTCCCAGATTCCATCCCCTTCTCCCAGATTCCATCCCCTTCTCCCAGATTCCATCCCCTTCTCCCAGATTCCATCCCCTTCTCCCAGATTCCATCCCCTTCTCCCAGATTCCATCCCCTTCTCCCGATTCCATCCCCTTCTCCAGATTCCATCCCCTTCTCCCAGATTCCATCCCCTTCTCCCAGATTCCATCCCCTTCTCCCATTCCATCCCCTTCTCCCAGATTCCATCCCCTTCTCCCAGATTTCCATCTCCCAGATCCCCTTCTCCAGATTCCATCCCCTTCTCCCAGATTCCATCCCCTTCTCCCAGATTCCATCCCCTTCTCCCAGATTCCATCCCCTTCTCCCAGATTCCATCCCCTTCTCCCAGATTCCATCCCCTTCTCCCAGATTCCATCCCCTTCTCCCAGATTCCATCCCCTTCTCCCAGATTCCATCCCCTTCTCCCAGATTCCATCCCCTTCTCCCAGATTCCATCCCCTTCTCCCAGATTCCATCCCCTCTCCCAGATTCCATCCCCTTCTCCCAGATTCCATCCCCTTCTCCCAGATTCCATCCCCTTCTCCCAGATTCCACCCCTTCTCCCAGATTCCATCCCCTTCTCCCGATTCCATCCCCTTCTCCCAGATTCCATCCCCTTCTCCCAGATTCCATCCCCTTCTCCCAGATTCCATCCCCTTCTCCCAGATTCCATCCCCTTCTCCCAGATTCCATCCCCTTCTCCCAGATTCCATCCCCTTCTCCCAGATTCCATCCCCTTCTCCCAGATTCCATCCCTTTCTCCCAGATTCCATCCCCTTCTCCCAGATTCCATCCCCTTCTCCAGATTCCATCCCCTTCTCCCAGATTCCATCCCCTTCTCCCCGATTCCATCCCCTTCTCCCAGATTCCATCCCTTCTCCCCATTCCATCCCCTTCTCCCAGATTCCATCCCCTTCTCCCAGATTCCATCCCCTTCTCCCAGATTCCATCCCCTTCTCCCAGATTCCATCCCCTTCTCCCAGATTCCATCCCCTTCTCCCAGATTCCATCCCCTTCTCCCAGATTCCATCCCCTTCTCCCAGATTCCATCCCCTTCTCCCAGATTCCATCCCCTTCTCCCCAGATTCCATCCCCTTCTCCCAGATTCCATCCCCTTCTCCCAGATTCCATCCCCTTCTCCCAGATTCCATCCCCTTCTCCCAGATTCCATCCCCTTCTCCCAGATTCCATCCCCTTCTCCCAGATTCCATCCCCTTCTCCCAGATTCCATCCCCTTCTCCCAGATTCCATCCCCTTCTCCCAGATTCCATCCCCTTCTCCCAGATTCCATCCCCTTCTCCAGATTCCATCCCCTTCTCCCAGATTCCATCCCCTTCTCCCAGATTCCATCCCCTTCTCCCAGATTCCATCCCCTTCTCCCAGATTCCATCCCCTTCTCCCAGATTCCATCCCCTTCTCCCAGATTCCATCCCCTTCTCCCAGATTCCATCCCCTTCTCCCAGATTCCATCCCCTTCTCCCAGATTCCATCCCCTTCTCCCAGATTCCATCCCCTTCCCAGATTCCATCCCCTTCTCCCAGATTCCATCCCCTTCTCCCAGATTCCATCCCCTTCTCCCAGATTCCATCCCCCTCCCCAGATTCCATCCCCTTCTCCCAGATTCCATCCCCTTCTCCCAGATTCCATCCCCTTCTCCCAGATTCCATCCCCTTCTCCCAGATTCCATCCCCTTCTCCCAGATTCCATCCCCTTCTCCCAGATTCCATCCCCTTCTCCCAGATTCCATCCCCTTCTCCCAGATTCCATCCCCTTCTCCTTCTCCCCTTCTCCAGATTCCATCCCCTTCTCCCAGATTCCATCCCCTTCTCCCAGATTCCATCCCCTTCTCCAGATTCCATCCCCTTCTCCCAGATTCCATCCCCTTCTCCCAGATTCCATCCCCTTCTCCCAGATTCCATCCCCTTCTCCCAGATTCCATCCCCTTCTCCCAGATTCCATCCCCTTCTCCCAGATTCCATCCCCTTCTCCCAGATTCCATCCCCTTCTCCCAGATTCCATCCCCTTCCCAGATTCCATCCCCTTCTCCCAGATTCCATCCCCTTCTCCCAGATTCCATCCCCTTCTCCCAGATTCCATCCCCTTCTCCCAGATTCCATCCCCTTCTCCCAGATTCCATCCCTTCTCCCAGATTCCATCCCCTTCTCCCAGATTCCATCCCCTTCTCCCAGATTCCATCCCCTTCTCCCAGATTCCATCCCCTTCTCCCAGATTCCATCCCCTTCTCCCAGATTCCATCCCCTTCTCCCAGATTCCATCCCCTTCTCCCAGATTCCATCCCCTTCTCCCAGATTCCATCCCCTTCTCCCAGATTCCATCCCCTTCTCCCAGATTCCATCCCCTTCTCCCAGATTCCATCCCCTTCTCCCAGATTCCATCCCCTTCTCCCAGATTCCATCCCCTTCTCCCAGATTCCATCCCCTTCTCCCAGATTCCATCCCCTTCTCCCAGATTCCATCCCCTTCTCCCAGATTCCATCCCCTTCTCCCAGATTCCATCCCCTTCTCCAGATTCCATCCCCTTCTCCCAGATTCCATCCCCTTCTCCCAGATTCCATCCCCTTCTCCCAGATTCCATCCCCTTCTCCCAGATTCCATCCCCTTCTCCCAGATTCCATCCCCTTCTCCCAGATTCCATCCCCTTCTCCCAGATTCCATCCCCTTCTCCCAGATTCCATCCCTTCTCCCAGATTCCATCCCCTTCTCCCAGATTCCATCCCCTTCTCCCAGATTCCATCCCCTTCTCCCAGATTCCATCCCCTTCTCCCAGATTCCATCCCCTTCTCCCAGATTCCATCCCCTTCTCCCAGATTCCATCCCCTTCTCCCAGATTCCATCCCTTCTCCCAGATTCCATCCCCTTCTCCCAGATTCCATCCCCTTCTCCCAGATTCCATCCCCTTCTCCAGATTCCATCCCCTTCTCCCAGATTCCATCCCCTTCTCCCAGATTCCATCCCCTTCTCCCAGATTCCATCCCCTTCTCCCAGATTCCATCCCCTTCTCCCAGATTCCATCCCCTTCTCCCAGATTCCATCCCCTTCTCCCAGATTCCATCCCCTTCTCCCAGATTCCATCCCCTTCTCCCAGATTCCATCCCCTTCTCCCAGATTCCATCCCCTTCTCCCAGATTCCATCCCCTTCTCCCAGATTCCATCCCCTTCTCCCAGATTCCATCCCCTTCTCCCAGATTCCATCCCCTTCTCCCAGATTCCATCCCCTTCTCCCAGATTCCATCCCCTTCTCCCAGATTCCATCCCCTTCTCCCAGATTCCATCCCCTTCTCCCAGATTCCATCCCCTTCTCCCAGATTCCATCCCCTTCTCCCAGATTCCATCCCCTTCTCCCAGATTCCATCCCCTTCTCCCAGATTCCATCCCCTTCTCCCAGATTCCATCCCCTTCTCCCAGATTCCATCCCCTTCTCCCAGATTCCATCCCCTTCTCCCAGATTCCATCCCCTTCTCCCAGATTCCATCCCCTTCTCCCAGATTCCATCCCCTTCTCCCAGATTCCATCCCCTTCTCCCAGATTCCATCCCCTTCTCCCAGATTCCATCCCCTTCTCCCAGATTCCATCCCCTTCTCCCAGATTCCATCCCCTTCTCCCAGATTCCATCCCCTTCTCCCAGATTCCATCCCCTTCTCCCAGATTCCATCCCCTTCTCCCAGATTCCATCCCCTTCTCCCAGATTCCATCCCCTTCTCCCAGATTCCATCCCCTTCTCCCAGATTCCATCCCCTTCTCCCAGATTCCATCCCCTTCTCCCAGATTCCATCCCCTTCTCCCAGATTCCATCCCCTTCTCCCAGATTCCATCCCCTTCTCCCAGATTCCATCCCCTTCTCCCAGATTCCATCCCCTTCTCCCAGATTCCATCCCCTTCTCCCAGATTCCATCCCCTTCTCCCAGATTCCATCCCCTTCTCCCAGATTCCATCCCCTTCTCCCAGATTCCATCCCCTTCTCCCAGATTCCATCCCCTTCTCCCAGATTCCATCCCCTTCTCCCAGATTCCATCCCCTTCTCCCAGATTCCATCCCCTTCTCCCAGATTCCATCCCCTTCTCCCAGATTCCATCCCCTTCTCCCAGATTCCATCCCCTTCTCCCAGATTCCATCCCCTTCTCCCAGATTCCATCCCCTTCTCCCAGATTCCATCCCCTTCTCCCAGATTCCATCCCCTTCTCCCAGATTCCATCCCCTTCTCCCAGATTCCATCCCCTTCTCCCAGATTCCATCCCCTTCTCCCAGATTCCATCCCCTTCTCCCAGATTCCATCCCCTTCTCCCAGATTCCATCCCCTTCTCCCAGATTCCATCCCCTTCTCCCAGATTCCATCCCCTTCTCCCAGATTCCATCCCCTTCTCCAGATTCCATCCCCTTCTCCCAGATTCCATCCCCTTCTCCCAGATTCCATCCCCTTCTCCCAGATTCCATCCCCTTCTCCCAGATTCCATCCCCTTCTCCCAGATTCCATCCCCTTCTCCCAGATTCCATCCCCTTCTCCCAGATTCCATCCCCTTCTCCCAGATTCCATCCCCTTCTCCCAGATTCCATCCCCTTCTCCCAGATTCCATCCCCTTCTCCCAGATTCCATCCCCTTCTCCCAGATTCCATCCCCTTCTCCCAGATTCCATCCCCTTCTCCCAGATTCCATCCCCTTCTCCCAGATTCCATCCCCTTCTCCCAGATTCCATCCCCTTCTCCCAGATTCCATCCCCTTCTCCCAGATTCCATCCCCTTCTCCCAGATTCCATCCCCTTCTCCCAGATTCCATCCCCTTCTCCCAGATTCCATCCCCTTCTCCCAGATTCCATCCCCTTCTCCCAGATTCCATCCCCTTCTCCCAGATTCCATCCCCTTCTCCCAGATTCCATCCCCTTCTCCCAGATTCCATCCCCTTCTCCCAGATTCCATCCCCTTCTCCCAGATTCCATCCCCTTCTCCCAGATTCCATCCCCTTCTCCCAGATTCCATCCCCTTCTCCCAGATTCCATCCCCTTCTCCCAGATTCCATCCCCTTCTCCCAGATTCCATCCCCTTCTCCCAGATTCCATCCCCTTCTCCCAGATTCCATCCCCTTCTCCCAGATTCCATCCCCTTCTCCCAGATTCCATCCCCTTCTCCCAGATTCCATCCCCTTCTCCCAGATTCCATCCCCTTCTCCCAGATTCCATCCCCTTCTCCCAGATTCCATCCCCTTCTCCCAGATTCCATCCCCTTCTCCCAGATTCCATCCCCTTCTCCCAGATTCCATCCCCTTCTCCCAGATTCCATCCCCTTCTCCCAGATTCCATCCCCTTCTCCCAGATTCCATCCCCTTCTCCCAGATTCCATCCCCTTCTCCCAGATTCCATCCCCTTCTCCCAGATTCCATCCCCTTCTCCCAGATTCCATCCCCTTCTCCCAGATTCCATCCCCTTCTCCCAGATTCCATCCCCTTCTCCCAGATTCCATCCCTTCTCCCAGATTCCATCCCCTTCTCCCAGATTCCATCCCCTTCTCCCAGATTCCATCCCCTTCTCCAGATTCCATCCCCTTCTCCCAGATTCCATCCCCTTCTCCCAGATTCCATCCCCTTCTCCCAGATTCCATCCCCTTCTCCCAGATTCCATCCCCTTCTCCCAGATTCCATCCCCTTCTCCCAGATTCCATCCCCTTCTCCCAGATTCCATCCCCTTCTCCCAGATTCCATCCCCTTCTCCCAGATTCCATCCCCTTCTCCCAGATTCCATCCCCTTCTCCCAGATTCCATCCCCTTCTCCCAGATTCCATCCCCTTCTCCCAGATTCCATCCCCTTCTCCCAGATTCCATCCCCTTCTCCCAGATTCCATCCCCTTCTCCCAGATTCCATCCCCTTCTCCCAGATTCCATCCCCTTCTCCCAGATTCCATCCCCTTCTCCCAGATTCCATCCCCTTCTCCCAGATTCCATCCCCTTCTCCCAGATTCCATCCCCTTCTCCCAGATTCCATCCCCTTCTCCCAGATTCCATCCCCTTCTCCCAGATTCCATCCCCTTCTCCCAGATTCCATCCCCTTCTCCCAGATTCCATCCCCTTCTCCCAGATTCCATCCCCTTCTCCCAGATTCCATCCCCTTCTCCCAGATTCCATCCCCTTCTCCCAGATTCCATCCCCTTCTCCCAGATTCCATCCCCTTCTCCCAGATTCCATCCCCTTCTCCCAGATTCCATCCCCTTCTCCCAGATTCCATCCCCTTCTCCCAGATTCCATCCCCTTCTCCCAGATTCCATCCCCTTCTCCCAGATTCCATCCCCTTCTCCCAGATTCCATCCCCTTCTCCCAGATTCCATCCCCTTCTCCCAGATTCCATCCCCTTCTCCCAGATTCCATCCCCTTCTCCCAGATTCCATCCCCTTCTCCCAGATTCCATCCCCTTCTCCCAGATTCCATCCCCTTCTCCCAGATTCCATCCCCTTCTCCCAGATTCCATCCCCTTCTCCCAGATTCCATCCCCTTCTCCCAGATTCCATCCCCTTCTCCCAGATTCCATCCCCTTCTCCCAGATTCCATCCCCTTCTCCCAGATTCCATCCCCTTCTCCCAGATTCCATCCCCTTCTCCCAGATTCCATCCCCTTCTCCCAGATTCCATCCCCTTCTCCCAGATTCCATCCCCTTCTCCCAGATTCCATCCCCTTCTCCCAGATTCCATCCCCTTCTCCCAGATTCCATCCCCTTCTCCCAGATTCCATCCCCTTCTCCCAGATTCCATCCCCTTCTCCCAGATTCCATCCCCTTCTCCCAGATTCCATCCCCTTCTCCCAGATTCCATCCCCTTCTCCCAGATTCCATCCCCTTCTCCCAGATTCCATCCCCTTCTCCCAGATTCCATCCCCTTCTCCCAGATTCCATCCCCTTCTCCCAGATTCCATCCCCTTCTCCCAGATTCCATCCCCTTCTCCCAGATTCCATCCCCTTCTCCCAGATTCCATCCCTTCTCCCAGATTCCATCCCCTTCTCCCAGATTCCATCCCCTTCTCCCAGATTCCATCCCCTTCTCCCAGATTCCATCCCCTTCTCCCAGATTCCATCCCCTTCTCCCAGATTCCATCCCCTTCTCCCAGATTCCATCCCCTTCTCCCAGATTCCATCCCCTTCTCCCAGATTCCATCCCCTTCTCCCAGATTCCATCCCCTTCTCCCAGATTCCATCCCCTTCTCCCAGATTCCATCCCCTTCTCCCAGATTCCATCCCCTTCTCCCAGATTCCATCCCCTTCTCCCAGATTCCATCCCCTTCTCCCAGATTCCATCCCCTTCTCCCAGATTCCATCCCCTTCTCCCAGATTCCATCCCCTTCTCCCAGATTCCATCCCCTTCTCCCAGATTCCATCCCCTTCTCCCAGATTCCATCCCCTTCTCCCAGATTCCATCCCCTTCTCCCAGATTCCATCCCCTTCTCCCAGATTCCATCCCCTTCTCCCAGATTCCATCCCCTTCTCCCAGATTCCATCCCCTTCTCCCAGATTCCATCCCCTTCTCCCAGATTCCATCCCCTTCTCCCAGATTCCATCCCCTTCTCCCAGATTCCATCCCCTTCTCCCAGATTCCATCCCCTTCTCCCAGATTCCATCCCCTTCTCCCAGATTCCATCCCCTTCTCCCAGATTCCATCCCCTTCTCCCAGATTCCATCCCCTTCTCCCAGATTCCATCCCCTTCTCCCAGATTCCATCCCCTTCTCCCAGATTCCATCCCCTTCTCCCAGATTCCATCCCCTTCTCCCAGATTCCATCCCCTTCTCCCAGATTCCATCCCCTTCTCCCAGATTCCATCCCCTTCTCCCAGATTCCATCCCCTTCTCCCAGATTCCATCCCCTTCTCCCAGATTCCATCCCCTTCTCCCAGATTCCATCCCCTTCTCCCAGATTCCATCCCCTTCTCCCAGATTCCATCCCCTTCTCCCAGATTCCATCCCCTTCTCCCAGATTCCATCCCCTTCTCCCAGATTCCATCCCCTTCTCCCAGATTCCATCCCCTTCTCCCAGATTCCATCCCCTTCTCCCAGATTCCATCCCCTTCTCCCAGATTCCATCCCCTTCTCCCAGATTCCATCCCCTTCTCCCAGATTCCATCCCCTTCTCCCAGATTCCATCCCCTTCTCCCAGATTCCATCCCCTTCTCCCAGATTCCATCCCCTTCTCCCAGATTCCATCCCCTTCTCCCAGATTCCATCCCCTTCTCCCAGATTCCATCCCCTTCTCCCAGATTCCATCCCCTTCTCCCAGATTCCATCCCCTTCTCCCAGATTCCATCCCCTTCTCCCAGATTCCATCCCCTTCTCCCAGATTCCATCCCCTTCTCCCAGATTCCATCCCCTTCTCCCAGATTCCATCCCCTTCTCCCAGATTCCATCCCCTTCTCCCAGATTCCATCCCCTTCTCCCAGATTCCATCCCCTTCTCCCAGATTCCATCCCCTTCTCCCAGATTCCATCCCCTTCTCCCAGATTCCATCCCCTTCTCCCAGATTCCATCCCCTTCTCCCAGATTCCATCCCCTTCTCCCAGATTCCATCCCCTTCTCCCAGATTCCATCCCCTTCTCCCAGATTCCATCCCCTTCTCCCAGATTCCATCCCCTTCTCCCAGATTCCATCCCCTTCTCCCAGATTCCATCCCCTTCTCCCAGATTCCATCCCCTTCTCCCAGATTCCATCCCCTTCTCCCAGATTCCATCCCCTTCTCCCAGATTCCATCCCCTTCTCCCAGATTCCATCCCCTTCTCCCAGATTCCATCCCCTTCTCCCAGATTCCATCCCCTTCTCCCAGATTCCATCCCCTTCTCCCAGATTCCATCCCCTTCTCCCAGATTCCATCCCCTTCTCCCAGATTCCATCCCCTTCTCCCAGATTCCATCCCCTTCTCCCAGATTCCATCCCCTTCTCCCAGATTCCATCCCCTTCTCCCAGATTCCATCCCCTTCTCCCAGATTCCATCCCCTTCTCCCAGATTCCATCCCCTTCTCCCAGATTCCATCCCCTTCTCCCAGATTCCATCCCCTTCTCCCAGATTCCATCCCCTTCTCCCAGATTCCATCCCCTTCTCCCAGATTCCATCCCCTTCTCCCAGATTCCATCCCCTTCTCCCAGATTCCATCCCCTTCTCCCAGATTCCATCCCCTTCTCCCAGATTCCATCCCCTTCTCCCAGATTCCATCCCCTTCTCCCAGATTCCATCCCCTTCTCCCAGATTCCATCCCCTTCTCCCAGATTCCATCCCCTTCTCCCAGATTCCATCCCCTTCTCCCAGATTCCATCCCCTTCTCCCAGATTCCATCCCCTTCTCCCAGATTCCATCCCCTTCTCCCAGATTCCATCCCCTTCTCCCAGATTCCATCCCCTTCTCCCAGATTCCATCCCCTTCTCCCAGATTCCATCCCCTTCTCCCAGATTCCATCCCCTTCTCCCAGATTCCATCCCCTTCTCCCAGATTCCATCCCCTTCTCCCAGATTCCATCCCCTTCTCCCAGATTCCATCCCCTTCTCCCAGATTCCATCCCCTTCTCCCAGATTCCATCCCCTTCTCCCAGATTCCATCCCCTTCTCCCAGATTCCATCCCCTTCTCCCAGATTCCATCCCCTTCTCCCAGATTCCATCCCCTTCTCCCAGATTCCATCCCCTTCTCCCAGATTCCATCCCCTTCTCCCAGATTCCATCCCCTTCTCCCAGATTCCATCCCCTTCTCCCAGATTCCATCCCCTTCTCCCAGATTCCATCCCCTTCTCCCAGATTCCATCCCCTTCTCCCAGATTCCATCCCCTTCTCCCAGATTCCATCCCCTTCTCCCAGATTCCATCCCCTTCTCCCAGATTCCATCCCCTTCTCCCAGATTCCATCCCCTTCTCCCAGATTCCATCCCCTTCTCCCAGATTCCATCCCCTTCTCCCAGATTCCATCCCCTTCTCCCAGATTCCATCCCCTTCTCCCAGATTCCATCCCCTTCTCCCAGATTCCATCCCCTTCTCCCAGATTCCATCCCCTTCTCCCAGATTCCATCCCCTTCTCCCAGATTCCATCCCCTTCTCCCAGATTCCATCCCCTTCTCCCAGATTCCATCCCCTTCTCCCAGATTCCATCCCCTTCTCCCAGATTCCATCCCCTTCTCCCAGATTCCATCCCCTTCTCCCAGATTCCATCCCCTTCTCCCAGATTCCATCCCCTTCTCCCAGATTCCATCCCCTTCTCCCAGATTCCATCCCCTTCTCCCAGATTCCATCCCCTTCTCCCAGATTCCATCCCCTTCTCCCAGATTCCATCCCCTTCTCCCAGATTCCATCCCCTTCTCCCAGATTCCATCCCCTTCTCCCAGATTCCATCCCCTTCTCCCAGATTCCATCCCCTTCTCCCAGATTCCATCCCCTTCTCCCAGATTCCATCCCCTTCTCCCAGATTCCATCCCCTTCTCCCAGATTCCATCCCCTTCTCCCAGATTCCATCCCCTTCTCCCAGATTCCATCCCCTTCTCCCAGATTCCATCCCCTTCTCCCAGATTCCATCCCCTTCTCCCAGATTCCATCCCCTTCTCCCAGATTCCATCCCCTTCTCCCAGATTCCATCCCCTTCTCCCAGATTCCATCCCCTTCTCCCAGATTCCATCCCCTTCTCCCAGATTCCATCCCCTTCTCCCAGATTCCATCCCCTTCTCCCAGATTCCATCCCCTTCTCCCAGATTCCATCCCCTTCTCCCAGATTCCATCCCCTTCTCCCAGATTCCATCCCCTTCTCCCAGATTCCATCCCCTTCTCCCAGATTCCATCCCCTTCTCCCAGATTCCATCCCCTTCTCCCAGATTCCATCCCCTTCTCCCAGATTCCATCCCCTTCTCCCAGATTCCATCCCCTTCTCCCAGATTCCATCCCCTTCTCCCAGATTCCATCCCCTTCTCCCAGATTCCATCCCCTTCTCCCAGATTCCATCCCCTTCTCCCAGATTCCATCCCCTTCTCCCAGATTCCATCCCCTTCTCCCAGATTCCATCCCCTTCTCCCAGATTCCATCCCCTTCTCCCAGATTCCATCCCCTTCTCCCAGATTCCATCCCCTTCTCCCAGATTCCATCCCCTTCTCCCAGATTCCATCCCCTTCTCCCAGATTCCATCCCCTTCTCCCAGATTCCATCCCCTTCTCCCAGATTCCATCCCCTTCTCCCAGATTCCATCCCCTTCTCCCAGATTCCATCCCCTTCTCCCAGATTCCATCCCCTTCTCCCAGATTCCATCCCCTTCTCCCAGATTCCATCCCCTTCTCCCAGATTCCATCCCCTTCTCCCAGATTCCATCCCCTTCTCCCAGATTCCATCCCCTTCTCCCAGATTCCATCCCCTTCTCCCAGATTCCATCCCCTTCTCCCAGATTCCATCCCCTTCTCCCAGATTCCATCCCCTTCTCCCAGATTCCATCCCCTTCTCCCAGATTCCATCCCCTTCTCCCAGATTCCATCCCCTTCTCCCAGATTCCATCCCCTTCTCCCAGATTCCATCCCCTTCTCCCAGATTCCATCCCCTTCTCCCAGATTCCATCCCCTTCTCCCAGATTCCATCCCCTTCTCCCAGATTCCATCCCCTTCTCCCAGATTCCATCCCCTTCTCCCAGATTCCATCCCCTTCTCCCAGATTCCATCCCCTTCTCCCAGATTCCATCCCCTTCTCCCAGATTCCATCCCCTTCTCCCAGATTCCATCCCCTTCTCCCAGATTCCATCCCCTTCTCCCAGATTCCATCCCCTTCTCCCAGATTCCATCCCCTTCTCCCAGATTCCATCCCCTTCTCCCAGATTCCATCCCCTTCTCCCAGATTCCATCCCCTTCTCCCAGATTCCATCCCCTTCTCCCAGATTCCATCCCCTTCTCCCAGATTCCATCCCCTTCTCCCAGATTCCATCCCCTTCTCCCAGATTCCATCCCCTTCTCCCAGATTCCATCCCCTTCTCCCAGATTCCATCCCCTTCTCCCAGATTCCATCCCCTTCTCCCAGATTCCATCCCCTTCTCCCAGATTCCATCCCCTTCTCCCAGATTCCATCCCCTTCTCCCAGATTCCATCCCCTTCTCCCAGATTCCATCCCCTTCTCCCAGATTCCATCCCCTTCTCCCAGATTCCATCCCCTTCTCCCAGATTCCATCCCCTTCTCCCAGATTCCATCCCCTTCTCCCAGATTCCATCCCCTTCTCCCAGATTCCATCCCCTTCTCCCAGATTCCATCCCCTTCTCCCAGATTCCATCCCCTTCTCCCAGATTCCATCCCCTTCTCCCAGATTCCATCCCCTTCTCCCAGATTCCATCCCCTTCTCCCAGATTCCATCCCCTTCTCCCAGATTCCATCCCCTTCTCCCAGATTCCATCCCCTTCTCCCAGATTCCATCCCCTTCTCCCAGATTCCATCCCCTTCTCCCAGATTCCATCCCCTTCTCCCAGATTCCATCCCCTTCTCCCAGATTCCATCCCCTTCTCCCAGATTCCATCCCCTTCTCCCAGATTCCATCCCCTTCTCCCAGATTCCATCCCCTTCTCCCAGATTCCATCCCCTTCTCCCAGATTCCATCCCCTTCTCCCAGATTCCATCCCCTTCTCCCAGATTCCATCCCCTTCTCCCAGATTCCATCCCCTTCTCCCAGATTCCATCCCCTTCTCCCAGATTCCATCCCCTTCTCCCAGATTCCATCCCCTTCTCCCAGATTCCATCCCCTTCTCCCAGATTCCATCCCCTTCTCCCAGATTCCATCCCCTTCTCCCAGATTCCATCCCCTTCTCCCAGATTCCATCCCCTTCTCCCAGATTCCATCCCCTTCTCCCAGATTCCATCCCCTTCTCCCAGATTCCATCCCCTTCTCCCAGATTCCATCCCCTTCTCCCAGATTCCATCCCCTTCTCCCAGATTCCATCCCCTTCTCCCAGATTCCATCCCCTTCTCCCAGATTCCATCCCCTTCTCCCAGATTCCATCCCCTTCTCCCAGATTCCATCCCCTTCTCCCAGATTCCATCCCCTTCTCCCAGATTCCATCCCCTTCTCCCAGATTCCATCCCCTTCTCCCAGATTCCATCCCCTTCTCCCAGATTCCATCCCCTTCTCCCAGATTCCATCCCCTTCTCCCAGATTCCATCCCCTTCTCCCAGATTCCATCCCCTTCTCCCAGATTCCATCCCCTTCTCCCAGATTCCATCCCCTTCTCCCAGATTCCATCCCCTTCTCCCAGATTCCATCCCCTTCTCCCAGATTCCATCCCCTTCTCCCAGATTCCATCCCCTTCTCCCAGATTCCATCCCCTTCTCCCAGATTCCATCCCCTTCTCCCAGATTCCATCCCCTTCTCCCAGATTCCATCCCCTTCTCCCAGATTCCATCCCCTTCTCCCAGATTCCATCCCCTTCTCCCAGATTCCATCCCCTTCTCCCAGATTCCATCCCCTTCTCCCAGATTCCATCCCCTTCTCCCAGATTCCATCCCCTTCTCCCAGATTCCATCCCCTTCTCCCAGATTCCATCCCCTTCTCCCAGATTCCATCCCCTTCTCCCAGATTCCATCCCCTTCTCCCAGATTCCATCCCCTTCTCCCAGATTCCATCCCCTTCTCCCAGATTCCATCCCCTTCTCCCAGATTCCATCCCCTTCTCCCAGATTCCATCCCCTTCTCCCAGATTCCATCCCCTTCTCCCAGATTCCATCCCCTTCTCCCAGATTCCATCCCCTTCTCCCAGATTCCATCCCCTTCTCCCAGATTCCATCCCCTTCTCCCAGATTCCATCCCCTTCTCCCAGATTCCATCCCCTTCTCCCAGATTCCATCCCCTTCTCCCAGATTCCATCCCCTTCTCCCAGATTCCATCCCCTTCTCCCAGATTCCATCCCCTTCTCCCAGATTCCATCCCCTTCTCCCAGATTCCATCCCCTTCTCCCAGATTCCATCCCCTTCTCCCAGATTCCATCCCCTTCTCCCAGATTCCATCCCCTTCTCCCAGATTCCATCCCCTTCTCCCAGATTCCATCCCCTTCTCCCAGATTCCATCCCCTTCTCCCAGATTCCATCCCCTTCTCCCAGATTCCATCCCCTTCTCCCAGATTCCATCCCCTTCTCCCAGATTCCATCCCCTTCTCCCAGATTCCATCCCCTTCTCCCAGATTCCATCCCCTTCTCCCAGATTCCATCCCCTTCTCCCAGATTCCATCCCCTTCTCCCAGATTCCATCCCCTTCTCCCAGATTCCATCCCCTTCTCCCAGATTCCATCCCCTTCTCCCAGATTCCATCCCCTTCTCCCAGATTCCATCCCCTTCTCCCAGATTCCATCCCCTTCTCCCAGATTCCATCCCCTTCTCCCAGATTCCATCCCCTTCTCCCAGATTCCATCCCCTTCTCCCAGATTCCATCCCCTTCTCCCAGATTCCATCCCCTTCTCCCAGATTCCATCCCCTTCTCCCAGATTCCATCCCCTTCTCCCAGATTCCATCCCCTTCTCCCAGATTCCATCCCCTTCTCCCAGATTCCATCCCCTTCTCCCAGATTCCATCCCCTTCTCCCAGATTCCATCCCCTTCTCCCAGATTCCATCCCCTTCTCCCAGATTCCATCCCCTTCTCCCAGATTCCATCCCCTTCTCCCAGATTCCATCCCCTTCTCCCAGATTCCATCCCCTTCTCCCAGATTCCATCCCCTTCTCCCAGATTCCATCCCCTTCTCCCAGATTCCATCCCCTTCTCCCAGATTCCATCCCCTTCTCCCAGATTCCATCCCCTTCTCCCAGATTCCATCCCCTTCTCCCAGATTCCATCCCCTTCTCCCAGATTCCATCCCCTTCTCCCAGATTCCATCCCCTTCTCCCAGATTCCATCCCCTTCTCCCAGATTCCATCCCCTTCTCCCAGATTCCATCCCCTTCTCCCAGATTCCATCCCCTTCTCCCAGATTCCATCCCCTTCTCCCAGATTCCATCCCCTTCTCCCAGATTCCATCCCCTTCTCCCAGATTCCATCCCCTTCTCCCAGATTCCATCCCCTTCTCCCAGATTCCATCCCCTTCTCCCAGATTCCATCCCCTTCTCCCAGATTCCATCCCCTTCTCCCAGATTCCATCCCCTTCTCCCAGATTCCATCCCCTTCTCCCAGATTCCATCCCCTTCTCCCAGATTCCATCCCCTTCTCCCAGATTCCATCCCCTTCTCCCAGATTCCATCCCCTTCTCCCAGATTCCATCCCCTTCTCCCAGATTCCATCCCCTTCTCCCAGATTCCATCCCCTTCTCCCAGATTCCATCCCCTTCTCCCAGATTCCATCCCCTTCTCCCAGATTCCATCCCCTTCTCCCAGATTCCATCCCCTTCTCCCAGATTCCATCCCCTTCTCCCAGATTCCATCCCCTTCTCCCAGATTCCATCCCCTTCTCCCAGATTCCATCCCCTTCTCCCAGATTCCATCCCCTTCTCCCAGATTCCATCCCCTTCTCCCAGATTCCATCCCCTTCTCCCAGATTCCATCCCCTTCTCCCAGATTCCATCCCCTTCTCCCAGATTCCATCCCCTTCTCCCAGATTCCATCCCCTTCTCCCAGATTCCATCCCCTTCTCCCAGATTCCATCCCCTTCTCCCAGATTCCATCCCCTTCTCCCAGATTCCATCCCCTTCTCCCAGATTCCATCCCCTTCTCCCAGATTCCATCCCCTTCTCCCAGATTCCATCCCCTTCTCCCAGATTCCATCCCCTTCTCCCAGATTCCATCCCCTTCTCCCAGATTCCATCCCCTTCTCCCAGATTCCATCCCCTTCTCCCAGATTCCATCCCCTTCTCCCAGATTCCATCCCCTTCTCCCAGATTCCATCCCCTTCTCCCAGATTCCATCCCCTTCTCCCAGATTCCATCCCCTTCTCCCAGATTCCATCCCCTTCTCCCAGATTCCATCCCCTTCTCCCAGATTCCATCCCCTTCTCCCAGATTCCATCCCCTTCTCCCAGATTCCATCCCCTTCTCCCAGATTCCATCCCCTTCTCCCAGATTCCATCCCCTTCTCCCAGATTCCATCCCCTTCTCCCAGATTCCATCCCCTTCTCCCAGATTCCATCCCCTTCTCCCAGATTCCATCCCCTTCTCCCAGATTCCATCCCCTTCTCCCAGATTCCATCCCCTTCTCCCAGATTCCATCCCCTTCTCCCAGATTCCATCCCCTTCTCCCAGATTCCATCCCCTTCTCCCAGATTCCATCCCCTTCTCCCAGATTCCATCCCCTTCTCCCAGATTCCATCCCCTTCTCCCAGATTCCATCCCCTTCTCCCAGATTCCATCCCCTTCTCCCAGATTCCATCCCCTTCTCCCAGATTCCATCCCCTTCTCCCAGATTCCATCCCCTTCTCCCAGATTCCATCCCCTTCTCCCAGATTCCATCCCCTTCTCCCAGATTCCATCCCCTTCTCCCAGATTCCATCCCCTTCTCCCAGATTCCATCCCCTTCTCCCAGATTCCATCCCCTTCTCCCAGATTCCATCCCCTTCTCCCAGATTCCATCCCCTTCTCCCAGATTCCATCCCCTTCTCCCAGATTCCATCCCCTTCTCCCAGATTCCATCCCCTTCTCCCAGATTCCATCCCCTTCTCCCAGATTCCATCCCCTTCTCCCAGATTCCATCCCCTTCTCCCAGATTCCATCCCCTTCTCCCAGATTCCATCCCCTTCTCCCAGATTCCATCCCCTTCTCCCAGATTCCATCCCCTTCTCCCAGATTCCATCCCCTTCTCCCAGATTCCATCCCCTTCTCCCAGATTCCATCCCCTTCTCCCAGATTCCATCCCCTTCTCCCAGATTCCATCCCCTTCTCCCAGATTCCATCCCCTTCTCCCAGATTCCATCCCCTTCTCCCAGATTCCATCCCCTTCTCCCAGATTCCATCCCCTTCTCCCAGATTCCATCCCCTTCTCCCAGATTCCATCCCCTTCTCCCAGATTCCATCCCCTTCTCCCAGATTCCATCCCCTTCTCCCAGATTCCATCCCCTTCTCCCAGATTCCATCCCCTTCTCCCAGATTCCATCCCCTTCTCCCAGATTCCATCCCCTTCTCCCAGATTCCATCCCCTTCTCCCAGATTCCATCCCCTTCTCCCAGATTCCATCCCCTTCTCCCAGATTCCATCCCCTTCTCCCAGATTCCATCCCCTTCTCCCAGATTCCATCCCCTTCTCCCAGATTCCATCCCCTTCTCCCAGATTCCATCCCCTTCTCCCAGATTCCATCCCCTTCTCCCAGATTCCATCCCCTTCTCCCAGATTCCATCCCCTTCTCCCAGATTCCATCCCCTTCTCCCAGATTCCATCCCCTTCTCCCAGATTCCATCCCCTTCTCCCAGATTCCATCCCCTTCTCCCAGATTCCATCCCCTTCTCCCAGATTCCATCCCCTTCTCCCAGATTCCATCCCCTTCTCCCAGATTCCATCCCCTTCTCCCAGATTCCATCCCCTTCTCCCAGATTCCATCCCCTTCTCCCAGATTCCATCCCCTTCTCCCAGATTCCATCCCCTTCTCCCAGATTCCATCCCCTTCTCCCAGATTCCATCCCCTTCTCCCAGATTCCATCCCCTTCTCCCAGATTCCATCCCCTTCTCCCAGATTCCATCCCCTTCTCCCAGATTCCATCCCCTTCTCCCAGATTCCATCCCCTTCTCCCAGATTCCATCCCCTTCTCCCAGATTCCATCCCCTTCTCCCAGATTCCATCCCCTTCTCCCAGATTCCATCCCCTTCTCCCAGATTCCATCCCCTTCTCCCAGATTCCATCCCCTTCTCCCAGATTCCATCCCCTTCTCCCAGATTCCATCCCCTTCTCCCAGATTCCATCCCCTTCTCCCAGATTCCATCCCCTTCTCCCAGATTCCATCCCCTTCTCCCAGATTCCATCCCCTTCTCCCAGATTCCATCCCCTTCTCCCAGATTCCATCCCCTTCTCCCAGATTCCATCCCCTTCTCCCAGATTCCATCCCCTTCTCCCAGATTCCATCCCCTTCTCCCAGATTCCATCCCCTTCTCCCAGATTCCATCCCCTTCTCCCAGATTCCATCCCCTTCTCCCAGATTCCATCCCCTTCTCCCAGATTCCATCCCCTTCTCCCAGATTCCATCCCCTTCTCCCAGATTCCATCCCCTTCTCCCAGATTCCATCCCCTTCTCCCAGATTCCATCCCCTTCTCCCAGATTCCATCCCCTTCTCCCAGATTCCATCCCCTTCTCCCAGATTCCATCCCCTTCTCCCAGATTCCATCCCCTTCTCCCAGATTCCATCCCCTTCTCCCAGATTCCATCCCCTTCTCCCAGATTCCATCCCCTTCTCCCAGATTCCATCCCCTTCTCCCAGATTCCATCCCCTTCTCCCAGATTCCATCCCCTTCTCCCAGATTCCATCCCCTTCTCCCAGATTCCATCCCCTTCTCCCAGATTCCATCCCCTTCTCCCAGATTCCATCCCCTTCTCCCAGATTCCATCCCCTTCTCCCAGATTCCATCCCCTTCTCCCAGATTCCATCCCCTTCTCCCAGATTCCATCCCCTTCTCCCAGATTCCATCCCCTTCTCCCAGATTCCATCCCCTTCTCCCAGATTCCATCCCCTTCTCCCAGATTCCATCCCCTTCTCCCAGATTCCATCCCCTTCTCCCAGATTCCATCCCCTTCTCCCAGATTCCATCCCCTTCTCCCAGATTCCATCCCCTTCTCCCAGATTCCATCCCCTTCTCCCAGATTCCATCCCCTTCTCCCAGATTCCATCCCCTTCTCCCAGATTCCATCCCCTTCTCCCAGATTCCATCCCCTTCTCCCAGATTCCATCCCCTTCTCCCAGATTCCATCCCCTTCTCCCAGATTCCATCCCCTTCTCCCAGATTCCATCCCCTTCTCCCAGATTCCATCCCCTTCTCCCAGATTCCATCCCCTTCTCCCAGATTCCATCCCCTTCTCCCAGATTCCATCCCCTTCTCCCAGATTCCATCCCCTTCTCCCAGATTCCATCCCCTTCTCCCAGATTCCATCCCCTTCTCCCAGATTCCATCCCCTTCTCCCAGATTCCATCCCCTTCTCCCAGATTCCATCCCCTTCTCCCAGATTCCATCCCCTTCTCCCAGATTCCATCCCCTTCTCCCAGATTCCATCCCCTTCTCCCAGATTCCATCCCCTTCTCCCAGATTCCATCCCCTTCTCCCAGATTCCATCCCCTTCTCCCAGATTCCATCCCCTTCTCCCAGATTCCATCCCCTTCTCCCAGATTCCATCCCCTTCTCCCAGATTCCATCCCCTTCTCCCAGATTCCATCCCCTTCTCCCAGATTCCATCCCCTTCTCCCAGATTCCATCCCCTTCTCCCAGATTCCATCCCCTTCTCCCAGATTCCATCCCCTTCTCCCAGATTCCATCCCCTTCTCCCAGATTCCATCCCCTTCTCCCAGATTCCATCCCCTTCTCCCAGATTCCATCCCCTTCTCCCAGATTCCATCCCCTTCTCCCAGATTCCATCCCCTTCTCCCAGATTCCATCCCCTTCTCCCAGATTCCATCCCCTTCTCCCAGATTCCATCCCCTTCTCCCAGATTCCATCCCCTTCTCCCAGATTCCATCCCCTTCTCCCAGATTCCATCCCCTTCTCCCAGATTCCATCCCCTTCTCCCAGATTCCATCCCCTTCTCCCAGATTCCATCCCCTTCTCCCAGATTCCATCCCCTTCTCCCAGATTCCATCCCCTTCTCCCAGATTCCATCCCCTTCTCCCAGATTCCATCCCCTTCTCCCAGATTCCATCCCCTTCTCCCAGATTCCATCCCCTTCTCCCAGATTCCATCCCCTTCTCCCAGATTCCATCCCCTTCTCCCAGATTCCATCCCCTTCTCCCAGATTCCATCCCCTTCTCCCAGATTCCATCCCCTTCTCCCAGATTCCATCCCCTTCTCCCAGATTCCATCCCCTTCTCCCAGATTCCATCCCCTTCTCCCAGATTCCATCCCCTTCTCCCAGATTCCATCCCCTTCTCCCAGATTCCATCCCCTTCTCCCAGATTCCATCCCCTTCTCCCAGATTCCATCCCCTTCTCCCAGATTCCATCCCCTTCTCCCAGATTCCATCCCCTTCTCCCAGATTCCATCCCCTTCTCCCAGATTCCATCCCCTTCTCCCAGATTCCATCCCCTTCTCCCAGATTCCATCCCCTTCTCCCAGATTCCATCCCCTTCTCCCAGATTCCATCCCCTTCTCCCAGATTCCATCCCCTTCTCCCAGATTCCATCCCCTTCTCCCAGATTCCATCCCCTTCTCCCAGATTCCATCCCCTTCTCCCAGATTCCATCCCCTTCTCCCAGATTCCATCCCCTTCTCCCAGATTCCATCCCCTTCTCCCAGATTCCATCCCCTTCTCCCAGATTCCATCCCCTTCTCCCAGATTCCATCCCCTTCTCCCAGATTCCATCCCCTTCTCCCAGATTCCATCCCCTTCTCCCAGATTCCAT